ATCTATGCAGCGGGAAGGACACAGATTCTAGGAATGAAAGCAACGACATGATATACGACATGTAACGTTCAGGTGCCATTAGGTTTTGATCCCCGATGCTGTAACGTGTGTGAATTCATTCTTGAATCTGTGTCCAGACCAGACATATTGACAGATTTCGAATGGTGAAGTGCCAGAGGACGGAGATGTGAAATGTACACATTTTTCGCTGGGATTGCAGTTTATCTCCATTTGCGTCAACGCATTTCATCACTAGAGTTGAGCTCAGTTTTACCCTGGAAGGTTGTCACGAGTCCGGTGAAAGACAATCAAAGTTTTTATTTCGTACTTGAAAGATGGATTTGGGAGCCGTTTCCACGCCTCGGAACTGAGAAAGTTTGGATTCTGAACCCTAGGATTGTGTTTAAAATCAGACCAAACCTCCTCAAACTCATTTGACCGTTTTCCGTTTGTTTCAGTTTGGAAGCAGTGGAGACGATTCGGTTTGGAAGGCTACACAACGTGTTTTTGGCTTCCTTTTTTGTGTCCACGGAGTAGGCATATAAGTGAACTGAAGAAGTGGGTTGCATGCCAAATTGTTGGCTCAAGCTCGAGCTGCAACAGAGACATCTGTAAGCAATCTGTGACTGGTGCTCTCGCCTCGACGTTTTACGCCGTTCGAATTTCAGCGACAGACTGCTATTAAAGGCAGAGAAAAGTGCGGCAAATCATTTTGTTTGAGGAGCTTCTATCTGAAGAAAGGTTGAAGGATTCTTGAGAAGTTTTGCCGTACCTGCTCTCTACAGGGTGTGTTTTCGCTTGGGGGGCGGCCGCTCTGGGTGACGATCCGCCACCAGTCGCAACACATGCCTCCTGAAAACGACGCTTTGACAAGGACCCCTATCAGCAAACACATGCACATCAATGGAGTCATAGGTCACCAGGCACTCGTACTTGCACTCGTACTTGGTTCTGGCCCTACTCATGACAGCCATGCGGTGATGCAAGGCACACAGCTATTGCTCGCAAAAAAAACAGTAGGGTCAGTCTTAAGCAAACATGTCAATGCAAAACTCGCCAAATCAAGCCCAATGGAAACAAATGAAATGCTAGGCGAGGCAGGCACTGAACAATGAGTGCGTTGGCCCACTACTTCCTCAGTGCCCGCCGTCGTGAGTGGGTGCTGAGGAGCAAGAATCTATGTGTTACAACATCACCAAATCCTTTGGCGCTGGGAAAGTGATGCGACGGAAACTGCGCTCTACCAAGAAATGAATGGTCCACAGTGCCTGCTCGTGACGGCAGGCGCCATGGGAGCTCTCATTGAAAACGAAGAGTTTTCCAGAGCCGGCGCGCAAACAAACATTCACAACTCATGTCAAGCAAGCTGCAGCCAGAAGCAGCATTGCGCAACCTACAGGTGCTGGGGTGCAGGAAGCCAGGACGCCTTTGAGGCAACTTGGCGACAAGAGCGACAATGATATTCCGGAAAACCCTTTACAGGCAAGGATCTCGGTGGGCATCAGCAATCGAAGATTCCCAGCACGAGACAGGCACAAAATCTCCGAATTTTGCTTCATCTCTGGTAACGTATCCTCCTGGAGCATGGCCGCCTTCCAACTTGCAAAACCAGCATCTGTGACAATAAGTACGTTCGATTTGATGTTGGCAGCTCAGTGCGCCAACACGCATGCATGAACATGGATGACTTGGTTCTGCTTGTGCAACCCCTTGAGCTGTTTCGCATAGGGGTCGGGAATTTCATACTCCTGGGTTGGTAGCCGGTGATGGAAGGCTTCCTCCAAACATTCTTTCAATTTTCTTACTCTTGCAAGGCATATCATCTGAACAATCTGCGTCTTGCTGAGCTAGGTTTGCATCTTCGACTGTCCTTTTGCTACCATGCCTCATCATCTCCATCTCGTACTTGACCGTGTCGCTGCTGTGCTTCGCCAAGCAGTGAACCATTTTCAAAGTGGCAGCCTTTGCAACAGCTTGCTAGAAGGAAAGAAAGGCTTTGCGAAGCTCTGCTGGGACCATGTCTTGGCTGCAAACCACGAGCAAAAATCGCTGGCCGGATTCTGGCAAGCCTAGAGTTTCAGAGCTGTAAGGCAAGAACTCAACGCAGTTGTAGCTTGACCTCATGTTGGTGAGAACGACTTCCTCACAGCGCTTTGTATGCGAACTTTTGTTTGCGGGCAGAGATCAGCTTTGGATCTTGGCCCTGAACCGGCCCATGCTCAGAGAGGCTTGGCACGTGTGATTGATGGAATAGGTCAATGGGTTGTAGGTTGTGGGTTTACAGGATACAGGTTTGAATCTTACTTGTTTGGAGTCTGGAAGTTGCCCGTTGGGCACCCAAGGATGAAAAATAATATTTTAGAATAGGGCTTGCCATTGGCCAAGATGAATCCACTGTGGATGTGATCTTGGGCTCACTGTCCTTTGGACGACGCATCACTGTGGAGCTTCGGAAGCGCAAGTGAGAGACTGCACTGAGCCGCCAGCTGTGCAGATTTTT